GTGTGTTTGTGTGTGCTGTATGTGTGTGAGGGTGCTGTATGTGTGTGCTGTGTGTGTGGGGGTGCTGTATGTATGTGAGTGCTGCATGTGTGCTGTTTGTGTGTGTCTGCTGTATGTGTATGAGGGTGCTGTATGTGTGTGTGTGCTGTATCTGTGTGAGGGTGATGTGTGTGTGTGTGTGTGCTGTATGTGTGTGCGCTGTGTGTGCTGTGTGTGCGTGGTGTATGTGTGTGAGGGTGCTGTGTGTGTGTGTGTGCTGTGTGTGTGGGGGGGGGCTCCGGTTTACTAAGAAAATGTAGTATCTACTTAGGAAGCATATTTCACTATCACTGAGGACGGTGTGAGCGGCATTCTATATCCCGTGAAGTAGAGAAATATTTTATATATTTATACATTTTATATATTTATATAAAAAAAATACAATTAAAAAAATCACAACACGAATAGTTTACTCATCCGAATAATGTATAGAAATTGTAAACAAAATGTGTGCTTTAGATTTCAGTTATTCCAGTTTTTTGAAAATGTCACTATTTTAAAAAGTATGTAAGAAAGATAACTGATTCATTTAAAATGAAATAAAATCTTTTTATTTTTTTATTTTTATGTTGCTTATATAGTGAAATATAGTCTAGTTCATCATGAATGAGGAGATTTGTCCTCTCTTATCCTCAAACAAAACTATCATCTAGGATTCCGTCCCCACAACCCCCTTCTTTCGCAGATCTGTGAATATAGCAATGATTCTGTTGCTCGTAGCTTTACAAAAAATATTCATGCATAAAAACAGCTTTTCCAAACACTTTTTATGAACTCTCCTACAGATGCCATAGTATCTATATGTTTGCCTTTTGTAGTACAAATGGTTAAACAGGTTATCAAGAAGAAAAGGACTATGACTAATTTTTCTATTCTCACATATCCATGGAGAATAAAAAGAGTGACCAAATTGAGCCATCTGAACTATTAACATCAAGAGTCATTACAAATCCAATCCAGCGAGCTGCCGTGTGCTCAGATTGACTTAGCCAAGGACAGTAGGCTGCCGGAGAGTACTTAGACACAAGCTAAGGGGAGAAATGGTAAAAATCCTCGGCTGGGTAATTAGAGTCCGCAGGGAAGCTGTCCGGATCCTGCACGTCTTTCATTCCCCTCACTGAGACTTTAACTCGATTGGCAGGTGCAGCTTTATACCGAGGGTGAGGTGAGGGCCCGGAGTCATAACTCACAATGAAAAATGATCATCAATTTTGCAGCACTGCTCTGAGTGTGAACTACCGGGCTGTGATTACTGGCATTATTAGTGCCGGGATGTGGAGAAAATTGCAAGGGAAAGATAAAGAGAGGGATAGTGAGGGGAGAAGAAGAATGAAGAAGCACAAAAAATAAGCAGAAAAAAAAAAGACATAAAGAAAGGCCAAGGAGACAGGAGAACATTAGAGACGAGTTGACACGAAAATACAAAACAAAGTAACAGTGGGAGATTTATTATTTTATTCAGGTTTGTAGTCAGTTACTTGTATCCTTGGCAGACAAAAGGGTTCATATATCAGCGGCTAGAAAGGCCTGTTGTGCTGTGTATGGGTCATGCCATTTTATTTTAATGCCATCGTGGCACTAAGAATTTATAAGAAAAAAAATAAATATATATAAACCCAATGTATTTAAACCTACACTAGGGTTTAGGACAATGCACATGTAACCTTATTTAATTTGTATTTTTGTTCATTGTGGCTGAATTCAATTGTCCATGCGGCCCGGCCAAACTCCCGCTGGAATGAGGGGGTGACAGAAGGCAGGTAATGGTATAATATGTTCTTTTTTTATTTGCTCTTATATTTCATAGCCTTATTAAAGTGCGGCCACTATTAACTTTACAGGGTTATTCAATAAAGGGAGAATTCAAAGTAATTTTCTGTGTCCTGATTTAGGGTTAACCAAGGTGAGGAGTAAGACGAGAAACCCTTTTTTTCTCTTTGCAGAGCTTTCTTTTGCCTGAATACAAGGCAGAATAATTATACAAGATTTTAAATGCAAATTAAAGGGACAGTCCAGTGCCAAAACAACTTTATCTTATTGTGACTAACTGTACATTGAGTTACTAACAATAGTCAGCCAGAGATAGGCTGAGAGTTTCAGTTCAGCTCACTTTATATTCATCATGGGGGGCAGAAGTATGATTCTATATACACACATCTTACTCTTACCGCCAATACCATCCTATGAATTGAAAAGGGGTACTTTAAAATAAAGCAATTCAGGGGGGCCCAATTATTACACATGAACCAAGAAAGGGTATAATGACCCCCTTCTAAGGGTCAATCACATGCTATATTGGATTTTGGGTAATTACTTTGATTGTTTCCTAACTAGCAAGATTCCCTTCTTAATTGTTAGGCAGTAACCAAATCTGTACTATTCACTTAAAAATACAGGAAATATAAGAAGGGGAACCAAAGAGGTATTATTGTTTGTTTTTACACAGTTAAAATACAGACAAAATAGCATAATTATGCTGTAATCAAAAATCTATTGTAATTTTCTTATCTAAGTCAAAGAATCCAATTATTCCTTTGGACAAATGGGCACTATAATTAGAGGGACAGTTTCTTCATGAACTACAGTGTATTTTCCTGCCACATTACTTACTGAAATATCTTTATGCTAAATAAGGTTTGTGAGTTTCTAAATGCATTTTACCTTTCAGTGTCTAGGTTTGCATTAGGTTTCAATTTCATATTCACGAATGAGGAATAACAAGTACACCTGCTATTTGAACCTATGGGAATGTCATTACACAGAGTTTTATTCTGCCAACATGAATCTCTGGTTATCTGGCAGCTGGTTTGCACCTCACTGTTTAGTGAATAGATCCTTAAATTACACACATTACATGCCAATACCGTAACGCAGTAGCAACAGCTTTATCATTAAGTTGTATGACATGACCAACAATCTATAGTATAGTTTAATCTTTATTATCCCTGTTATACTGTATATGGGGTAACTTTGAATGTTAAACTCAAATGCAGGAAAAGACGGGTAATTCATAGCAAATTGGTTTGAAAAAAGAGGCTAAAGAATGTAATTGACTGGTAAGGAAACTTTCTGTAAGTTTAAGACGTAGGTATGAGGGAAAATGGACACATGAGTACAGAGGAGTTATCTTGGTGTTAGGCAAGAGTAGTAAGAGCTGGCATTATTTTGGAGGTTTGCAAGAAACAAAAAAGGACTAAATAGAGAGGTTAAACAGCTAAAATACCTGGCAGGAATGACAAAGATGAATGTATAACTGGCAGGTGGGTAAGAAGAAAAGAAATGAATTAAGCAGTCGATGTAGGACATATTAATTTGTCCACCCAAACCATTTCCTATAATCATGATAGAACGTTTGAGGATGTTCATCAATCCTTATTATTTTCAAATAATCAACCAATGATGTACACTCATGCTACATTGTATAGAGTTGAGTGTTATCTCACAGATGAATCTATATCGTTGCACAGAAAATTACTCCATTAAATGATTAATTTTTCAACCATGTTCTACCACAGAGACCAAATACAGGTAGCTGTGGATTGTATTTTTTTTTTTAATTCTTTATTTTGATGTGCAACAAGGGACTAACATACAGGCTTGCATAGCCAAGACAGCGTTAGCAAACTTAAAGGACCACTCTAGGCACCCAGACCACTTCAGCTTAATGAAGTGGTCTGGGTGCCAGGTCCTCTAGGATTAACCCATTTTTTTTAATAAAAATAGCAGTTTCAGAGAAACTGCTATGTTTATACTGAGGGTTAATCCAGCCTCTAGAGCCTCTAGTGGCTGTCTCATTGACAGCCGCTAGAGGCGTTTGCGTGCTTCTCACTGTGAAAATCAGACGCCTCATGCTTTCCTATGAGACCGGCTGAATGTGTGCGCAGCTCCTTCCGCGCATGCGCATTCAGCTGAAGGGGAGGAGAGGATTAGGAGAGCTCCCCTCCCGACGCTGGAAAAAAGGTAAGTTTAACCCCTTTCCTCTCCCCAGAGCCCGGTGGGAGGGGGACCCTGAGGGTGGGGGCACCCTCAGGGCACTATAGTGCCAGGAAAATGAGTGTGTTTTCCTGGCACTATAGTGGTCCTTTTATGTGGTTAAACATTTGTATGCAGTGTCATGACATGACATGAGAGACAATCACACTTTTTTTTTTATAAATTAAAGAAACAGGCTTAAAACATATTTTAAACAAGATTGTAATGAATACTTATATGCTTATAGATTATGTGTATCAGCCTCAGTGGTATGCATTGTTATTGAGTTTGAATACTGAATATGCGCTTTGCTTTACAAGTCAAAACATGCATAATAAGATAGATTATATGCTTTAAATAATAAAATAAATAACTAGTCAGGTATATAGCTTAAACAAGAGAAACTCTGCTGCCAAGGTGACTGTAAATTGGTTGTTTGTATATAGATTGTGCTATGCTTATGTAGTCTGGGTATCATTAGGTGAAGTGTAGGTTTTCTAGTCCTACTGTGTAGTGAATCACTAGGAGCAGGTTCCACCTTAAATGACCGTAGATTAGCAGGTTATAATTGACATAAATGCATAGCCTATGTGGTTCAGGGCTGAGATGACTGAGGCTGGGTATTTAACTGTGAAGACAGCTCGGGGCAGTCCATGATGGGTGTTTCATCCAATACCCAGCGTTGGTACCTCTCAGGTGTTGTCCTCCCCCTTCTTATTGTGGTGTCCCCTGAGTTTGCTGTCTCTGCTGCGGAGGTCAGGTCTCGCGGTGCCCTGTGGAGTGTGTAGCTGCGCAGTCGCTTGTATTGCAGGTAAGTCCATCGGCATGGCTGAGGGGGAGGTTGAGGCTGTGGAGTGGAGTCGGATGGAGGCTTGGAGTGTGCCGCCTGAGTCTCTTTGTTTGTGCCGATTCCCTTCATTGGGCTGGGTGTCGGGCCCGGAGGGTCCCCTTTGCTTGCCAGGGTTGTGCTTTAAGGTGTTCAGGGTGGCTGTTCCGGCGGTGCTCCGTATGTAGCAAGGTCCGTCGTTTGGGCCGGGAGCCCCGTCCTAGATGGTGCCGGTTGTCGGCTCTGGGAGAGAGTGTGCTTTTGCGGTGGGGGTTCATCGGTAGTGTCTTGAGTGTGTGCTTCCGCTGCTTGCTCCCTAGCCGCCATTAGTGCTTCCAGCTTGGACATAAGGTCGGGACTTTCCTCATTGTGAGCGCACATGGCGGCGGCCATTTTGCATGTTCGTGCCTGTTTCTTTGTTCATATTCAGTGTCTGAGTGTGGTCCGGGAGAGGGGGGAGGGGGCCTGCGGGTCTGTTTATCTGGTTAGTTGACTGGTAGAGTGGCCGCCTCTCCCCGTCTTCGTCGCTTGCAGGCCCGAGCTAGTCATCTTGAGATCACCAAAACGGTCAGGAAAAGTGTCAAACATGTCACCAGGTCTTCCTTAGTGCAGGTATCAAATAACGGTTAAGTTTGTGACCCGGTTTTGGCGAGTTATTGGTAAATATCAGTAGTTCATAAGGGAGCTCGGCTTTCAAGCGTCTGCTCTGCTTGCTGGCTTAGCCCCGCCCCCAGCTGTGGATTGTATTTAAATAGTAACCTCACCTTTTTCAACTACAATTTTTATTTTAACTAGCTTGATATTTTGATATTAAGGTGTTCGTGCTCTGTGTGCCCACTTTCACCTATGTTTTTACTTTTATTTCAACTCAATTTCTCATTAAACACACTCAGAGGCGTAACTAGGAATCACAGGGCCCCAGTGCAAGAATCAGAGAAGCCCCACCCCTAGTTGCGGAACTAAAGTAGAGTGCCAATCCAGTCTTATTTGTAATTCCTGCAACATCATGACATCTGTCAACAGCATCATACCACCTGTCTATATTCAGTGATCAGCCACAACCTAATCTTCTGTATGTGTAGGTCCCCCTTGTGCTGCCACAACAGCTTTGATACGTCGGAGCATGGACTCCACAAGACCTCTGAACTTGTCCTGTGGTATCTGGCACCAATACATTAGCAGCAGATTATCCAAGTCCGGCACATTGTAAGGTCGAGCCCCCATAGATCAGATTTGTTGTTCCAGCACATCACACTAATGTTTATTCGTATTGAGATCTAGGTGAAGGCAACACCTTAAACTCTTTGTCTTGTTCCTGTACAATTTTGCAGTGTGGCAGGGTGCATTATCGTGCTGTAACAGCCCACTGCCATTAGGGAACCATGAAGGGATGGACATGGACTGCAACATTCACTAGGTGGGTAGTACATGTCAAAGTGACATCCACATAAATGCCAGGGCCCAAGGCTTTCCAGCAGAACTTTGCTCAGAGCATAACACTGTCTCTGCCTGCCTGCCTTCTTCCCATAGTGCATCCTACTGCCATCTCTTCCCCAGGTAAACAATGCACATACACTGACCATCCACTTTATCTAAAAGGAAAAATGTTATTAATCAGACCAGGCAACATTCTTCAATTGTTCCATAGTCCAGTTCTGATGCTTATGTCTCTATTGAACGTGCTTTCAGTGATGGACAGGGGTCATCATTAGCACTCTGAGTGGTCTGCGGCTATGCAACCACATGCGCAACTAGCTGCGATGCACTGTGTGTGTTCTGACACCTTTCTATGTTGATCAGCGTTAGCAGATCAGGCTAGATGGGCTAGCCTTCGCTTCTCACGTTCATCAATGACTTCTTCCTTGCATCACTTTTGGCAGGCACTAACCACTGCATACCAGCAACACTCCACAAGACTTGCTGTTTTGGAGAATCTCTCAGTCATCAAGCCATCACTATTTAGTACTTGTCAAAGTCACTCCGATTTGATTGCCCATTTTTCCTGCTTCCAACACATAAAATTCAAGTACTAACTGTTCACTTGCTGCCTTATATATACCACCCCTTGACTGGTGCCATTGTAACAATATAATCAATGTCATTCACTTCGACTGTCTCTGGTTTTAATGTTGTGGCTGATCAGTGTAAAAGTACCATGAGTGCGCATACTGATGAAACCAATCATCCTTAAAAACACATGCCTCTTCAAATGAGGCTACCGTGAACAAATTATCATACAAAGGGTCCATATTAGACCTCATCTTTGCACCATGCCACTGGGGATGTTGTCCAAATGTCTTCAGTTTACAGATAGAACCTGTTGTATCTTGGACAAAGAAGCTTGACCTCTGCACAAGTGGAAACAAATATCCATTTACAAATATTGAGGAAGGCTACAATACTGACCTAGAGATGGACACAATGAGTCTGTTGATTTATGAAATTCTGCTGCCTCGAGAATTGCCAAGATTATGCATTGTAACTGGAAGATTTTGGTTACCCAGGGGCTTTGCTCAGTTATCACATGTCATTTTCTCTGAGGATCTCTCAAACTCCAGGGTCTAAATTACCTTTCCAACCCCTACAATCTAACTTAGGGTATGATCATTAGGGTGCAAATGTATATACTGGTTGGCATGCCACATGTCCTGGGTGTTCTTGATTGCACTCATTGCAAGTTGGTTGCATATCCTTGCAACCACAGTGGAAGAACATCTGCTTCCATTGCACTAGTATTTAATAAACCATTGTGGCAAAAATAATTTATATAGGAAGAAGTAGAATGCTATTGGCCCATGTCCTTATTGCAACACCTAAATGTTTGTGGTTGGTGTTGCAATGACGAAACCAAGGATGTGCCTCAAGAATGACACAGAGAAAAAAACTGTATAAAAGAATGTGAAAGAACAGGATCTTGCATCAAAATAGATGCCTGAATGATGTGTGGCATCAATATGAAGAGGAGCATCATGAAAATTGACACAAGGACACTCAACATCAGTCAAGGGGACATGGACAACTGATACCTTAGCACTGATAGCTATTTCCCCTAGCTACCAGGCCTTCAAGAAGTCACAGATAAACAATCTACCATCTTCCCGGGTTACTCTTCTCTCCCTCCTGTCCCTCCACACTTTACTGGTTTCCATAGTCCATTTCATTCTCTTATCTTCACTCTTTATTTACATATTTAGAAGCTTAATGAGATACAGGTATCATATGTATCTACCTCTCCTCCCCTAACACACTTTGTTCTTCATCTTGTCTTCCTTTACCTCTTCCTCCTCCACTGTAAGCTTCTTTGTGTAGGACCTCCTTCACCTCTTATATTTGTCAACAGTATTTTTGTATGTCAATTATTTATTGTTAAATAACCCCATTCTATCTCTGTAAAGCTCTGCATAACATGTTGGTGCTATGTACATGCTAATACTAATATATTATTAAAAAGTTATTAAGTATATTTATTATACCTTGTCAATCTTGTGACCTCAGGGTTGACATACACTCCTAACTCTACATTTTTTCATGTTCAACCCACTGTTAGTATAGCAGCTAATGCCTCTCAGATAAAAGCTGGGAGTACCCATTGCTTTCCTTGAAAGGAAAGGAAATTGGATATCTCTGTGAAAGTAACAGATATGCTTAAAGGTACACTACTAGCACCATAACCACTACAACCCGATCAGCTGACACTCTCAGACTATAAGGTAAACCTAATTTGGAGCTACCAGCTCTTGGCCGATGGTAATGAAGGTGGGGGTTGGTACCACAGGTGGATTCAAGGTAAGAAGTCAAACTGTTCGAAAACGGTTTGACTCCTTACAAAATAGGGGTGCCAGGCACTCCTAGTACCATAGCCACTACTGAAGTGGTTATGGTATTTGGAGTTGATCCTTAACAGATATAAAAATGTTGCAAAATGTAAAAAGATACTTATTGAACAACCAATCAAGAGGGAGACATAAAGGACCTGCTGGGAAATAGTATATCTTCAGCACTTAGCAGCAATTAGTTTACCTTCAAGTGTGTTATTAAATGTATTACTAAAACAGTTAAAACACATAACATTTTTATCAAAATAGACAGCTATTGTAAGTAACTATAGTAAAGTTAGCGATAATAACGCTGCTTTGTTTTTCCAGTAAGGATCATGTGCTAGCATAAAATGTAAGCAACTTTTCCCAGATTATTCCAATTTGAATAATTTAGCAATTTCCATATGATCACATGAATGCCTCTTAAAAGCAAGTCTAATGCTTTGTCAACAAAGGGCCTGTTGGTTCACTCGCCTGAAAGAAGCAGCTGTTTGAAGTGTATAGATCTGATACTTTTTTTTTTCTATAGAACAGTTATGGGATTTAAGCTGTATGGGTTTTGTACTGTTTTGTTAAATAAAATAATGTAGAATTCTTGGTGCGTGCAGGAATGAAACATGGCTCAGATGTATTACAACCAGATGTTGGCTGTGCTTTAAAAACACAATAGAATGGTGGCTTAACCCATCTCTTTATTTTTTAAGTTCTAAGTTTTTCCCTAAAGTTTTTTTTCTGTTTTGGGTTATGCCTTTATTACAATATGGGATGTTCCATAGTGTATGTGTACCCTCCAATGAAATACATCATTGCCATCTAGTGTCCAGTTTATGAAATTATTATTATTGAGTAGTTTAAGTATTTAAATGCTTAAAATAACATCTTTTTTTTTTCCTACTGGAATAGGGATGCACAACGACAACAACTACCGCTTGCCACTTTTTAGAACGAAAGAGAACATATTGTCACAGGGTTTGCATTATGATCCGTTACCTTTAACCCTTTCCCTCCCAACAATATTTATTGCGTGATTTGGTATTATTGTAAATCAAGTAAAAAAGCGACATAAATGATTCTATTAACTCTTCCAGTAACTAATCTTCCCATCGCTTTCTTCACTAGCGTTCTGTTTCATTTCAAGTTTTATCACCAAAACTTGCTGTTATTTTCTATTTTTAAACAAATATTTAATTGAAAAATGGCATAACGTAGGCAGAGAAGAACTGGCACTTTTTAGACCATTTTTAGAACAATTTAGTAAATAGAAACAAATTAGAGACCAAAAACAAAAGACACTTTTCAGAACATTTTGATCTATTTCCCTCAATGTGTCTAATTATACGTCGCTCAGTCTGTTAACCCAGATGCTCTTTTTGCTCAGTTTTGCAAAGCGTTCTGGATAGTGCTATTTAAAAACTGTAAAATAAATTCATACTTTGTGTTAATTAGATATCGTTTATTTGTATTATATCAACTTGGACGTTACTAAGTTGTTCTTTTTGCAACAAAAGCAGGATATGATCG